GAAGGGGCTCAAGGTGTGCATGATGTAGGGCAGTGTAGGGTAGGGAGATTCTAGTTGATGGTTATTTGTGTGTATCGATGTGTGCGGTAGGGGTACCCTCGTTTGCCCGGGGTAGCTGCCACTACACCGATTTTTTTTTTTTTGCTTGCGTGCCGCTCTGGCCTTTGTTATGCACACTCCCTCAAGGGTAGGCAGGGCATGTTTGGGGGACGGTCTTTTGGCTCTATTGTTTGGGTGTGTGTGGGCGCAAGCGATTTTGGTCGACGACGGGAGAGGTGCCCCTTGTGATAGCGTTCGTTACGGCTGCCTGTACTTCACCATCGCCCGCTCTTTGGCTTGGTACGGTCGTCGTGCGCGGCGCTGTGCACCTCATGCGCCGGCCGCCACGTTTCTGTTGTCGGGGAGGTTTCGCTGGTTGGAGGCGTGCTTTGCGTGTGCATCGTGTAGATGCGTCACTGCGTTCTGTGCGTTGCGTTTTGCTTCTCCCCTGCATTCGTAGCCAGCAGAGTACGTGTTTGGTCCCGTGAAAAAAGCGTCGCCGACCATCGTGTGCTGACGATCAGCGTGCCCGTATCGTACTGAATGGATGTGCCATGCTTTTCCTTGCCTTGCTGTGTTGCTTTTTTTTTGCTCGTTTTTCATGTGCCGTGCACAAACTGAAGGCGTTCTCGACGAAGTCCGGTTTCGACAAGAAGCAGTCCCAGGCAGTGATGCAGTTCGCGGCGTTCGTCAAGGCGGAGTTCGAGGAGGCCGGCCCTCAGGTAACGCTACAATAGCTTTGGGTTTATCCGGGACTTTTGCTCAATAAAAGTGCGGTATTTTTCACCTGTTGGTGGCATGTTGTTTTTCAAGAGAGTTGCGACTGTTGTCAAGTTTGTGCGCCGTGGGGGGGCTGAAAGGTGTACGGCTGTTGGAGATCAAGCACGTCGCGGGAACAAAAGGCATCCCAGCCGCGATTTCACTAAAGCGTCTAACCCCTTGCATCGAAGCGTGAATAGATCGAGGTCACTGTGTCCGCCAATGTTCCCTAACGAGAATTCGCAGTTGCGTGCATCCCCTGTATTCAGTTCCTGCTAGGCCTAGCACGCCACTGCACCGTGTGAAACGATCGAATCACTTAAAGAACGCCCCCTCCCTGAAAAAACATAATACAAAACTCAGGCTCTTTTTATGCCTAGCGCGTATCACGCCGCTGCATCGTTGTGAAACGGACGAATCAAGTAACCCCTGAAAAAGGAAAAAAAAAAACGCTCCTCCTAATGTCCAGCGCATCACGCCGCTGTCTTCTTGTAAAACGGACAATCAACCAACCAACCTTTCCCCCCCAAAAATGGGGGAAAAAATATCACTCAGGCGCTGGAGGCGACGCTCCCCTTCGACCAGACCGCCATCCTGGAGGAGAACATGGCGTACATCCGAGACAGCCTCGCGCTGGAAAACGTCCAGGTGTTTGACGCGGCCGGGGAGGAGGGCGACGCGAGACGGAAGGCGTCGGCAGAGCCCGGGCGACCGACCCTCTTTCTTTTTTGATCGATACGACCGCCGTTCACCATCTCGTGAGGAGAAGCGTTTGCGGATGCGTTGATGTGGTGGGGTGTTAGCGCGCTCGAGGAGAGGGGGGGGGGGCGTATGTGCGGCCGTCTTGGAATCAAGTACAGTACACGCTTGCCGAAATCGTTAGACCACTGACTTCGCGTCCTTGCGATGCCGGGACAGAGCGATATGACGGGCTTTCGCCGGCCCAGGCTACCTTTTTTCAAGGCTGAACCACAAACTGTTCATCATCCTTGCGTTGTCGTGACAAGGGGGGAAGGGGGTCGACAGGGGATTGTGGCGCAGAAGTCTGCCACCGGCTGTGGGTGGCTGCCCCCATCCTGGGAATTCTTCGGTTGCTTTCCGAGATTGGTGAAATAGCCTAGGAGGCCCCGCTTGTTTGAAAGTATTGTAGAATTTTTGGCCTCATCTCGCCCTACAATCAACGTATGTACTGCAGTCGCTGTTTTTCTGTTCGACACAGGAATAGAAGAACCAGACTAGGGCCTGATGCGATTGGTGTGTCCCGGTTGCGTCATGTTTGGACGAGCTTAACTCGGTGCTCCCCTGTCCTTGTTCGACGTTGCCCCTCTTTATCTGTCCATCTCGGATATATACCTATAATGTATCTTGTGTCACACGGTACTGAAGTTTGGAGTGGATGGGGGCTTTGATCAGGCGGCGTCGCGACAATCAAGTAGTCTCGGAGAGAAACGGAGACCTTGGACCACTTCAGGATGCCCGGCGCTATGGCCTGAGAGTATCTGGTTCGAGTTTTAATATGTGTGTTTCTGGCCTACACCTTCTCTCTTGCGACTGGCGCGGCGACATGCATTGTTCAGTACCATACGGCTTCGATCAGGCGGAGTTTCGACCTACCCAGGTAGCCTGATTTTGCCTATGCACATGAATGCACGGAGGGGGTGTTTGGGTAGATAGAACAAGCTGCGGTGCATGGACATGATCCGACGCACAAGTAGACAAAACTCCTGGCTGCATAGCGATATCGTGTAGCGTTTCTGGATGTGTCGGGGGATGTCACCACCTGGTGCACTCACTTTGCATTTCGAGGGGGGTCTACCTCTCCATGATGCACGATGCCTAAAGAGGAAAAAAATCGAGAGGCGCGTTTTAGTAGAAATTAAAGTTTCCACCACTCTCGTGTTTTCGTTATACAAGTATATCTACGTATATCCTCTGAAACTCGGCGGAGAGTGAAAGGGTCCACAACCCCACACGCACCAGGGCGGTCATTTCCATGGCCGTGGTACACACTGCCATCGCTTTTCGCCCAAAATTCGACAGCTCACTGTAGCAGCCACCACGCCCCAAAATAGCAGCCGTGCGAGGTTTGGGTATGACCCTTGTGTCTGAAGCCAGGGCACCAGTGGTGGTGCGTGAAATCTGGGCGGTATGACTGCAACCGCTGGGGTAGACAAGAACCCGTCGCCTGTTGGTTTTTCTCCCGTGAGCGTTTCCATGTGTGAAGTGACGGAATTTACGAGTACGAAATGGTGATGGTCCGAGCCGCACGAACACGTGACCTCTATCTCGTGGCTCACGTACTCCACCACATGGCACGGTCTCTCGTCTTGGCTACATTGCAGAGACATGAACGGAACCGATGCTATTCTTGTGAGGATATTGCATCCCTTCCGTCAACTCAACGTCGTCCCTTCCACTCACCGAATGATGAGCAAGAGGTGTTCCGGGATTCATTGAATGCATGCAGGAAACAAATGCAAATCCATATGCGATGAATAGGGCCATGAATGTCGTACTTTCCCGAGGCTTCCGTGCTCTCCTTTGATGGAACACCATGAAGCATGGTTTGCGGTGCTCGTTTCTGGAAAGAACGTCGCAATGCCCTACATGTACGGACGTGCTGCGATCCTCATGGATCTTGGGGCTACAAACCACCGTGCTTCGCGTCGCGAATGAATGATCGAATTTCACATCATGGCGTTTTCGTGCTTTTTTACTCGAGCCCACGTCTCGTGCTTGCGCAAATTTGATGAGCCACATGAAGCGCTCTTCTGCATGGCACTCTTGCCTACTTACTCCCTAAGGATCACCCTAAGTTAAAAACTCACAGAAAAAGGGTACGTGGCACTATGGTCTCTAAGAATACCATTATGGACTATATCGCGTTCAAAACGTGAACGCAACGCACAGTCTCAGCGTATTCATTTTTCACTCACTCTTCACTACCCATCACCATGCACTTCTCGACCCCAAGTTTCATCTCACTGACTTTAATACCCTTTCTCCCACATGAAGCTTCGACATTTTCCTGACTTTATGGCCAACACAATCAGACAGCCGCGACACCCCCCCCCATGTCGTTCAGAAAGGCGTGTTCTGGCTACGCGAACATCACCAAAAAATCATTGCTGCGCGAACATCCAAGTGCGTCAACAATTTTATCGTTTGTGATTCGAAGGCCGCAAAAAAGATCGAACACATTACTCTCTGCATATTCTGAGCAAACCGACAATGTTCGCAAACCATTGAGAAGGCAGCTGATGTAAGAACAGCTCGATAATGCAGCATATCCCATACGCCCGACGCTCTCTCGCAACGCTCGACGTATATCGCCAATCTTGCTGCGAGACCAACAACGAAAAAGGAAAACGGCAGCACGATACCCTGGGATTTTGTGGTGGATCATGCTCCACCACATCGTGTTGGTCGGGTGTTGGGCGATGGATACAAGAGTGTAGTTGCGCTACTGCTGCTGCTCTCTGTGCTGGTGTGTGTGTGTCGCAACAAGTAGAGCTGGCCCTTCATCAATTTGACAGAACTTAAATTTGTTGGCACCGAAGCAGGAGTCCTCCCACTGCTCAGTAAGCTCTATGACCGACCGCGCGCGCATGTATGTGTTGGTGGGGTAACGTGTGCAGCAGCACCCAGCACCACCCTAGCGTGGTGTTGACCAAAGCAACAAAAACTAAATGAACACTCTTGAAAACTTCAGCATTAACCCTCCTACAATATGTAGTACTGGAAGCCCAAATGCGGACACGTTCGGGGATACAGCACTCAAATGCGTATTACCGCACCGTATTCATCCTATAGCCTCCGCTGTGTGAAACGCACGTGAGAACCCTTGGCCTATCATGCTTGGCTGAGGTGGTACACTGTGGTTTGGTGCGTGATGCCTTTCCTCGGCCTCTGACTTGCTGTACACCACCTCCCAAGCCGCGTGTTCCCTAGGTCGTCAAACTGTACATCGCCTGGTACTGGAAAGAATTGGTGACTTGGCTTCAGCGTGAAAAGTGTCCCCACGTGTCGGGGACACTTTTCATACTGAAGCCAAGCCACCCTTTGTCTGACAAGGAGCTCAGATGCTTTGGAGGGACTGTAGCCCCTTGACCAATGGCTGACAAACATTTGCGACATGTATTTTTCTGCGGAGGGGATGATACTAGGAGGGGTAATAGGCGCCATTTGCCCTTCGTGCCAAAAACACTTCCTTGGGTCGAATTTTTATTCGTATGGTGGTATGTAAATAAAACTGGCAAAAAAGTGAAATCCGAAACCGTGTATCCTACACAATATGGTATTCTTTCAAGTCATAGCCTGAAAAGAGCTCGCTGCATCCAATTTTTCCTCTTCATTGTTTTGGTTTCCATGACAGGTAGACTTGCTGCTGCTACGGGCAAAAGGACACGGCGGTATTGTACGAAGATCTCACTGGACACCATTCTAAACACGTTTAGGCACCTGCCTCCCAGCGCCACACACTCTTTCACGCTCCGTGAGAGGAACAAATTTAAACAAGAACAGCACACGACCAACCAGTCTTCCACACCAGTAGTGCAGGAGAACGTTCGGCGGGAGAGACACCGAAGGCAAGCAGCTACAGAGCGCAGGAATTTGACGCGATCGCCGTGTTACTCCTTTCAAATGGTACGTCGCAGCGTACGTGCAACTGTCACGCTCTGAAGTATTGCCTCATCTACTGTATCATCCTTTGCCTCTTCTTCCCCGTCTGACATGTGCATAGTTGAGAGCATACAGCTCAACGACTTCCCGCTGGTACTGAGCCTCGGCCGCGGGGCTTCCCGCTCCTTGGCCGCCCTCAGCGAAACCGACAGGATGATCGTCTCGACCACGACCAGCGTCACCATGCACGCGTGAACGGCCACGAGGATGGCCTCGAACACCCTCTGGCTGCTCGCCCGTTCGTCGGACACGTCGACCTTGAGCAGGAGGGCGACGTACATGCTCACGAGCACGACCATGTGCCCCATCCTGCTCGTCCACGCGTCCCACCTGGACGAGTACGGGTCCAGGGCCTCCGAGAGTATCGTAAACGCGACCGCGATGACCAGAGTCACCGCGATCTGGGCGGCCGTGTTCGGGTAGATGAAAACGACCACACCGGCGAGCAGGACCCGACGGCAGCACTCGATCACCTCGTAGTAGAACGCCGACGGCTTGTACGGCTCCCACAGGTGGGACGTCGACGTGACGCGCGGAGGGTCTTCTCGGTTGATCTCATCCTTTCTCAGCACGTCGCGATCCCTGAAGAGAAGGCCGGCGTATAGAGCCGGGATCCCCACCGGGTACAAGACGATCATGAAGCCCGCGTACACCTGGAAGGCCTTGTGCCCGGAGGAGTCGCACTCGATGCGGTAGTCCGACCGGAGGTAGTTTTTGCCGTCGTGCAGCTCCTCGCACGCAAACGATTGAAATAGGACGGAACTGACGTTCGAGTACACGAGGAAGGTGAGGAGGAGCCCCATGGATACGTGCTTCTGCCACACATTGTTCTGGAGGTTCTGGGGGGATCCGCGGTTTGTACGGGCGACGGCGGCGTTGGTGCACGCCAGGAACGACAGGGCCACGAGTGGGCTGATCGTCGACACTAGCAGGCGATCGTGGAAGTCGATGTCGAAGATGCACCCGGTCGAGAACACCCAGCTGAGGTCGAAGTTAAATACGTCCATTGCGTCCAGGAAGTCCTGGTACACGTCAGGGTAGGTGACGTTCGCCACGGACGTGAACTGTTGCGAAAGGAAATCCGGGGGCGCGAATCGACAGGCACGCGGATGGGCGAACGCACACGGCGTGCGTATTGGCACCGGTCAACACACACACGGGTCCATGGGGTCCGCACCGAGAGTGTTAGGGTGGGGGCGGCGAACAACATGGTATTCTGGTGACTCTCCAGATTCCAACAGCGTTCATCCAGGGGGCTCGGCGCACAAGTAAATATTATTGCGAAAAGCGCCGTGTGGCATGTGAAGTCGAGTAGCGTGTTGGTGCTCGTTAGAGCGTGGAACAAGTAAGCTACAACGCCGGAATTCTAGTAGAAACTCGGATAGCCGGGTAGGGCGCATGGCCGTGGCATGCACCAAACACAGCTGCAAAACCCATGATTCAGAGGTCACATTATTCCCGAGTTTTCCAGGTTCAGCGGTGGCGGGCGGGCGGCACATAGCAGCATTTTCCCCAATCGTTCATGGACGGCAGTCCGCGCGGTTGTCAGCAACACTACGCACGCTGCCTTGGACTGTTCGGCATTTGAGTGCGCTTAAGTCTTTGCCGGATAAAAGGTGGCCTTCTCGAACCTGCGTCAAGATCTGCCACGACACGATCACGATCTTCACGGACTGGAGTGGAATGTGCCGGGCCATGCGCTCGACTAACCCTCCCTCCGCGCCCCCGTCGTCGTCCCTCGACATGATGTACGAGACCACAGCGACTGCCGCGAAGATGGCCAACATGGCGATGATGACAATAACCACGATGCCACCAGCCTTGTTTTCGGAGCACTTGGTGCAAGAAAACCCCAGTTGCTTCGTGTACCCACCGCTGCAGATACTGCAATCTGTACGCCAAACGACAGACAGGCACGTAGATACAAACAAGGACGGGCGTGAGATTGGTGAATTAGTTCGATGGGAGAGCTTTGCCACTGACGGTTCGAGCTTTCATCCACTCGTTCGTGTCGTGTGGGACCGCGCGCAAGGGAGCGTTCAACATTGAAGGCGCTCTTGCTCGCAGCCGTGAACGGGGCAGCCCGCAGTGGGTGCAAGTGAGCGATCGCATTGATTGCCAACACGGCTATTGCTACTTCAAGGCTTGTCTGACAGCACGGCAACGGCAACGACCTGAATAAAGCAGCAGGACAGACTATTCGACGTGACGCATCACGACTCAGCAATTTCAGTAGTTAAACAAACACGCGAGCTACTGACTTAGTCCGGCGAAGTGTATCCAACGTCACGCACATGGTCCTTCGTAGCCCTCAAGGCAATACCCAGACGTCCCCGTCACCCCGCCCAGGCATGCATCGGCCTGGAAGCACTCGAGGACTTCTTCGCTCACGGATGTTGCTCGCCAATACCCTCGGTCGATCGATACTTCTTGGAGGGTGGTGTTGCCGCCGGTGCTCGTTGAGTGGGCCATCACTTCCGAGCAAGCGGGACCTACTAGCCCTTGTTCGAAGACGCACCCGTCGCACACGATGTCACACCCGGCGCAGACGGCTTCGAATGGGTCGCCCGACTGTTACACATCCGCGGCACGAGCATGGATGGACCGTTCCAAGGCACGCGTTGGTGCATTGGCATGCACAGTAGAAGCCCGAACCCGCTTCGTAGGTGAGCTCTGAGTCTATTTCGTTTACAACCTAACTCCGGTTGGAGCGGCCCACCAGACTGCCTGGACTGCACTTGCGGGGGAGGATACAAGCGGCTATGCACGCAATACCTCTCCTTATGGACATTTTTTGCAGCAGCTAAATTACTCCCAAATATCCAAATTTCCAAATCCGTAGACCATACGACCTCCATTTGCGGCGGAGGAAATTGTTTTGGAATTCTGGAAATAATATTTAGAAACAATTGACACCCATAGTTGCATAGATATGGGTTTCTGAAGAGTCGGAACTTGGAAAATGGAACACAATTTGGAAGCAAAATATGGTACCCGGGATTCTTACCGCGTTCAAGTCCAGGAACGTGCCGGATGGACAGTCGAAGACGTTGTCGCTGAAGTAGATGTGCGCCATCTTCGAGATGAAACCGATGTTGGACAAGGCCGCCCCTTCGCCGTCGTCTGAGACGTTGTCGACGAACGAGCAGTTCTCCACAGACGCCGTGCCTGCCATCCGCAGAGCCCCCCCGGTCCCGGCCTTGTTACCCACGAACACATTACCGACGAAGGCGTCCTGTCCGGCGGCGCTCTCGAAGGCCCCACCCGTTGCGGACGCTTGGTTGCCGACGAAGGAGCAGCGGTCGAACGTTGTTGGGCTCGGCCATTCGAGGTCGAAAAACCCTTTCAAGTTCCCGGACCCCACGATCGAAACTGCGCCTCCAACCTGAGCGGAGTTGGCCACGAAGCTCACGTTGACGAATACGAAGCCGACGCCGGCGCCAGAGACGAAGACGGCCCCTCCCGCGACTTCGGCGGCGTTGCCGGAGAAGGTAACACCCGCCGTGTCGATGTCTACCGACAGGCCGTCGAAGGCCGCGAGACCTCCCCCGCTTCCCCCGCACGTGTTGTTCACGAAGGCCGTCGGCCCGTTGATGAGGAGGGTAGAGCTCCGGAGATTGTACACGGAGTCGAGAATGGGTGATGCCACCGCACCCCCGTCGGTGCTCGCCTCGTTCGACATGAAGGTCGTGTCCCCGGTCCACGCGACGCTCGAGCCATTCACGACGAAGACGGCTCCTCCGGACCGACCGGCAGAATTTTCCACGAAAGCCGTGTCCCCGCCCCAGGCCGCCGTCGCGTAGCTCGCGACCAGCCCCCCTCCCACCTTCTCCGCGAAATTGCCCACGAAAGCCGTCGAACCACCGAGGAAAACGCCGGCAGGCAACTCCCTACCGACAACCAACAGTGCGCCGCCGAAGCCACTCTCCAGTATTCCTGGATCTCCAACAGCGCTGTTCCCTTCGAAGGAAGCGTTGCCGCCGAAGGACGCGTTGCACCCGGAGCCCACCTCTAGGGCACCCCCGGAAATAGTTGCCGAGTTTCCGACATACGTGGTGGTGGTCTCCTCGGCGCAGGAAAGCTCAGAGCTTTGAGTCACAGCCATCCCCCCGCCAATCAGAGCCTGGTTCCCGTCGAACACGCTTTCCGCGTGTCCCGCCCACGAAATACTCGAGGCGGTTTGGACGTAGACCGCGCCCCCGGAATACCAAGCTTGGTTCTCCAGAAACGTGGTCGATGCATTCCAGGAAGCTGCCGAGAGGTCGAATACCATTAGGGCACCCCCATAGATAGCGCTGTTGTTCGTGAACGTCGTGTCTCCGCCCCACGAAAGACTCGACCCGTGTTCGACTACCACGGCTCCGCCCCAAAGAGCACCGCGGTTCGAATGAAATTCCGTCCGGCCGTCCCATGATACCGTCGAGCCATCCAGGACGTAGATAGCACCGCCGTAACGGCCGGCGCCGCTCTCAACGAACACGGCGTCATCGCTCCAAGACACGCTGGATCCGTTCCCGGCGTATATTGCGCCTCCGGAATCGCCCGCCACGTTGCCTAGCCAGGCGGCACCGCAGTCGACGGCCGAGGCGCCGATCACGTACATGGCGCCCCCGTCCCCCGTCGCGTTGTTGTCGTTGAAGGCTGTATCCCCCAAGCAAGACACGGTGGAGCCGTTCGACGCGTACACTGCGCCTCCGTGGCCGGTAGCCCTGTTGCCGACGATGCTCGTGTGGTTCAGCGTCACGCGGGACCCTGCCGCGGCGATTCCCCCGCCGACCGCCCTGCTCGCACCGTAGCTGATGTTCACGTTCCGCAGGTGCAGGGACGCGTCGACGACAGTGAAGAGTCGCGTTGCGGCGTGTCCGTCGATGACGGCGGTCGAGCCGACGCCCGTAACGGTGACAATGGTCCCGTCGCGGACGTAGATCGGTGACTCCACGACTACGGACCCTCTCCACTCCACCTCGAACGACCCGCCGGAACAATTGACAGCCGCGGCTAACGCCAGTGCCTCCGCCGAGTCGGCCACCACCCACGACTGCTGGACCTCCGCCGAGCAAGGCAGGGTGGCAGGAGGCGGTTCCTGACACTCGTAGAACCCGTTGCTTGAGCCGGGGTCTAGGCAGTCGAAGAGACTCGAATAGCAATCCGCGTGACTGCAGCTACAGAAACAACACTGAGCAGGAGCGGAGGCGGCGGGGGGGTTAGTCATATCATATCATATCAGTGTGGAGGAGGACACCTGCCTCGTGACTCGCCCACATCTGATGGAGTGCCCTCTCCTCCCACACCAGAACTAACCGCCGTATGCGTTGCTGTTCTCGTTTCGTCAAGGTATCGTGGGTCTTTCATGGTGTAGCACCAGCCATGTCCACGCGCTAAGCACCCAAAAGCATGCACGGTTCAGGCTGACGCTAGAAAAATCATGTCAGCAGCAGACAACAACTCACGTCGCCCCCATCGTAGCCGCAGGAAGGGTTGTTGTTGTCCGGGTCGCACTCGCCGTTTGCAATGCTGGCGACCGTCCCGTCGGTGCAGTTGTCGTACTGAGCGGCAACGCCACGAACCCAGTGCGACAGGGAGAGGGCCGCAGCAGCAAGCCCGGCGGCGTTCTGCCGGACCATACTGCGTTTGTTGCCACTGTTCAGTTAGATAGGTGGCGCAACTTGCCTCCTCACCCCGTAGCTGTAGCTAATCCCGGAGTGTGAGACGATCGGAACATCAGTGGTGTGCATGGAAGGGTGAACGCAAGATGTGCCATCAGCAGGCTGTTGGCGAAAGTAGAAGAAAATTTCACAATATCAAAGCACGGTCGAGGGTTCGGAATGCATGGCGCGTGCCGCCTGCTCTATTATACTTGTAGGTGTTTTCCAGCTGCATGTACCAAGACATATAGGTCGGTGCATTCGTCAACGGTATACATAAACGAAAAAACCTGTGCAATTTCCAAGTGTTTTTCGTCGCAGTTTCCGGGCGCGTGGGGCGCGCCTGCTGAACGCTCTGTGTGCCATTACTTTGGGCTTGATCGTCCCTTTCGCGGGTGCGAAAATTACCACATCTCCGCGGGTGTACACGGGCGAAGAAGGCGTTTCTAATGTCGTTCCTGCTAATAGTTGTTAGGGTTGAAAAAAGAGATGTGCTGCGCAACGTTTGTAGTTCAAGTTTCGTTTCGTACGTGACAATGCTAAAAAAACACCGCGGTGTGCCACCTTCAGATTTGTATCACGCTGCGGAACTCATACGATTTAAACAACGGCAGTCTAGGTCATTAAAAGCCACAATGCGTCGAAAACATGTTCTTATGTAAGGTCCTTCCTGGAAAAAGCGGCGTCCGTGTATGAGACAATCTACAGTGGTGTGGTTGGGAATCTCTCACCTCTAGAGAGCGGTGGGGGTGGCCGACGACAAGCTCCTGAAGATTTCGGTCGGCCGAAGAATGTGCTCCGAGTGTCTAACGGAACGGAAGATATTGTAACGGGGTGATCCGAAATACGTCGACAGCGAGGGCAGAATCACGCTCCCATGCCCTGAACGAATGTCGCGACGAACGGGCCAAGACAGACACAAGTTTCCGGGCAAACGCGACTCTTCAAACGACTTTTCCAGCCCCATTCGCGTGCCTCCGGGGAACCAAATCATGACGAAAAAACATCTCATACCAGTTGAGAGGGTTGTCCCCAACCACTTATGAGAACTACGCGCATGCTGGCAAGCATCTCCACCCGATGATAAAAACACAAGTGCAGGACATTCCCGCCTTTCTTTGCTTCTAAACCCTACACGTCAAGTCTGAAATATCTCAAGAAGCGGGCTTGACATTGTCGGGTTTTTTATCATGATTCAGTCATGACTCGATAATGACTCGGTGATGACCCGGTGATGACTCGAGCATGACGGTCACGACCCATGACCAAAGTCATGCCTCGGTCATGCTTCGGTCATGAGCCGGTCGTAAGTTGGTAGCGACTTGGTCGTGACGACAGTGGCCGTTCATGACCCATGACCCGGTCGTGACCGAGTCATGACTCGCCAATCACTCGGGCATGACTTGCTCATGACCAATGCAGTTCTGGTGCTCCTTAGCAATGGTTTATCTGCTTGGTCAAAGGCATGAAACCGGCAACAACCCTAACGTTCACCCTAACCGTACCCACAAACCCACCAGATAGGTGCTAGGTTTGCCGCTGGGAGAGGTTCTAGGTTGGCGTGCCGGCATCGGCGCTAGGTTGATGTTGATGGGGATTACTTCTTCAGTGGTAGGCGTGTGTGCGAGCACACGTGCTTGATTGGGGTGGATGCCCTAAATCCAAACAGACCATCGGGTCATGGTTGGGTCACGATGGGGTGTTCACATGATCATGTCTCGGTTATGGAGCACTCATCGTGACCCGGCCATGCCAGGATCACGACTCGGTAATGACACAGCCTTGGCTAGATCACGGCCGGTCATAATTCCTGTGCAGTGAGAAACAGCAAACTAAGTCATGGCCCGGTCGCGATCCGGTCACGATCTGATCATGATCGGGTCACGGAGCCGGGTCATGACCGAAATCATGACCCCTTCGGTCACGATCCGGTCATGACCCGGTCATGACTCAAGTCATGACCCCACCATGATGACGATCATGAGCTAATCGAATGATGCCACTCATTGATCGTCCCGGTGAAGTCTGCTGGCACGGGGTCCTCCCAGCACAACGGTGGTATTCCACAGGCGTACCCTGGTGTAAAACTTATGCAGGGGTTCTGTAAAAAAAGGTGGTGGAAGCCGAGTTTTCTCTTGTTTCAGCCTTGTCCACTCACACCCACTCACACCTAGTCCGCGTGTGTGTGCGAAACCCAAATGTTTTTCGTGTTCGTTCGTGTGTTTTCTGCTCATCACACTCGATATTTCCTGAATACTATTGCATTGGCTTTCATCATCTATGGTTGCCTACATGGCGCGTTTTGACATGGAGGCACGGAATCTGGGGACCACCGTACGGACAACCTGGTACAGTAAACTAGTTGCGGTACCGGCATTTATTTTGGGCGATTCCCAAACCCTTTGATGGTTGGTGTGGTCCAGATAAATGTAGATTGTGTAGTCCCTTCCCGTCATTGCACCCACCGGGGGTGGAAGCCGATGATCAAGAGATAAGAGTCGCTCGCGACAATTGTAGTGGCGTTCATCGGTTGATTGAAGGCGGCCGTGAACGCTACAGTAGGTGTAGACTACTACATAATACTGATGACGTAGACGTTTTCATGCGATCGGCAAGGCAAGCTCAGCCAGTCGTGCCCGACGCTGCAACTTCGCCACGGGTCTATTTAGCCAAATATTCTACGGACGGTAGCCTAACCTGAGATTGTTACTGTACTGTAGATAAATAACGTTAGGGTTCCGCGAAATAATTTCGGAAAGCAAGTCCAGCGGGTCTCCCACATTTTCGGCGGTTTTACAAACCGCCCATGGACCGCCGATGAGAAATGACCGCAGCCCATATGGTGGGCACTTCGTGGGCAGTTCATGGGCTGTCCATGAGTTCCCTTCAACCGGAACCAGGGTCGTACTCCTAAACAACAGATTTTCTGCTTTGGAAGGATCATGATTCGGCGAAAAAACTCCAATGCTCTAACAGTAACCCCAAGCCCGCACGATACGTCCTAGGTGGGCGCTGGGTGACTACGTTCTATAGGTTGAATTGCCGGCGGCTAAGTTCTAGGTTGATAAGCCGGTGGCGAACGTGGGCACTTCGTGGGCAGTTAATGGGCTGCCCATGGGTGCCCCATGGGCGGTGAGCAAAACTGCCAGCTGTAGAATAGAGTATGCACAGGTCCTAGTAGATTTTTCGATTTGTTCATAGCCGCCCACAGCTTGTTGGCCTTGTTGTGCCGTCTACTGTGCACCAGTCCCGACCAGGTCGCCGAAACACATCATGACCTATGTTTACAGCTGTGAATATTTCTGAATCTATCTACACGTGTCCTCTAAAAACCCAAAAATTGGTTCTCTCAGCCCCTCCCCCCCAAAAAAAAATAATAAAAAAACACAGAGACGTACAAATATATATTTGTCCTCTAAAAATAAACACACACAGGAGTATATTTTTTGTCCCGTAAAACCCCCAAATTAATTTAAAAGAAAATACACACACATATCTTTTCTTCGTGTGGTTTTCTTGATTTTCGGGGGCGAAAGAGTGCCGGTCGCCCCGGCAGTCTAGTTGGTATCCTCGACATCCCTCTGTGCTATGGTAGAGGTCAGGGTTGTTGGGGATACCAACTAGACTGTCAAAGTTGGGGCTTTTCTTGCCAAAGTGAGTTTTTCGTCTCGCTTCTGTTCCTGCCCTCGGTGGAAAGCGCTACATAGTTCGTGTGTACGCAGAGGGAAAGAGAGTGCTGCACTCTTCTCGCATGAAAAATCGAAGGTAAAGCACCTCTCAGGAGGGGTGGATAGGGGGCCTCAGGGAGAGGAACCCTTTATGTGTGACGACCGGTTGGACAAACGGCACAACAAGTCTATAAGCAAGTGCTGTGAGCGCTGATTTGAAAAAAAAAAAAAAAAGACCTGTCCGTGTGTGTGTTTTTTACATACAGCCAAAGCGCAGTCAAGAGCAGCCATCATCCCGCAGCGGATGGCACGCACCTCTGTAGGCTGACCCGACACGGGGTGAGTGCTTGTTTATTGTAATATTGTAAGCACCGACTGAGGTTGCAGGGAGGTTGCAGCCCAAAAGTGTGCAAGTTATCCCGCATCTGATAGTGGCGTTACAACCCAACACACACGACGGAATGCAAGCCTACAAGAAAAAACGGATTCAAGGTTGAACTCGGCCTCCCAACCTCCCCCCCCCAAGTTGTATTTGGTGCCCAACCTGCCTCTCTGTGGCCAACAGTCAGTGTAGCGTATCACCTTTCCGCCAGCACCAATCATCAAGATTGTTCGTCAGTTTGGCTCCGCGTCTTTGTCCAGGCAGTCCACCACCAGGCAGGTAGCATTACGCTGCTGCTTTATTGGGCGGAACTTCGGATAAATTTACTGTTCCCGTGTCTGCCATCGTTGCGTCCTATGCAAGGTACTCTCAAGGGTTAGACTATGTCAACCATGATGGCGTGTTTGTGCCACTTTTTGCCAACGTCAGGTGATTTATGCAGCCCACCTCTCTTGCCATTTCCACTTTTGCCATCAGCTCCAAAAGGCAAGAAGCAGTTGCGACAACTTGTTGAAGGCTGAAAGCACAGCAGTCTCGTCCATTCAAATGCACTGACCTGGTGTATGTCTTTGATGAGACCTGGCGTCAAATCTTTTATGAGACCTGGGGTCAAGTCCCACGGAAGACCGGCGTGAAAGGTGCTGCTGTGTACATATGTGCATATGTATGTCAGTGTACAGCAGTAGTCTATTGTAACTTCTGTACGTAGACAATCCCCCGGGAGAACATCGCACATTGCGGCAAAAATCGATGACTCTTGCTAGAA